CAAGAACATTGCAATTTTTTAATGCCAGTTCTCCAGGACATGGACGTAATGGAAATAAAGCAAAATTCCACTTACATACACTTGGGTTTATTAGTTACATAGTTTTTCAATGACAGGGGTACGGGATAAGCCTGATTTTGATAAACTTTATACCTGGAGTGGAGAAGTCATATACACATTTAGATTGTTTTCCAATTCCACTTTTATGAAATGCTAAATAAGGCAGAAATACATGTACACATAAATAACAAACTACTGGCGAATGTCTCCACGAGATCTTTTGAAAAACAGTTGGAACACTCTATTTAATTTGTCGGCACGGCTGTTATGAGACCTATGACATAAAAAAAAATCTGTGCTCAAGTGTCATTTGCTGACGTCATTCAAGAAGTCCCGGATCTTTCTCTCTGGAAAAGTCGACCCCAGATGTGGAGGAAAGTTGATCTTATCTGCGTGGTTAAAATTGAATAAACCAGAGTGTTGACCACGAAGCTTAAGCTTCCCATGTAGATACATGTCTGATGAAACCATAAGCTGAGTAATTCCATTTTTGGATCAACTATACAAACTATCGCAAAAGGTGTCGTAAAGGTGCCAAAAACGGAAATCATTACCAAGACTGACCGAACCAATTGTCTTTCGTTCTTTAGTCTTTCAGCGTTGTCGCTCTGCATTCTGATCATTCGTGTATTACTGGACCTTATTTTCCGAATAATTTCTATATAACAGAACGTGATGGAAGGAAAGACAACGAAGGATATCAATCCTAGTGCAAAGTAAGCAAAACCGTCATCATCTATCCACGGGTGGCAAATCAGTCTCCTATGATCGAACTGAAAGCTTCCCCAGACTTCAAACAGCGGAAGTAGGTACAGCACAGGAAGAACGCTCCAGGATGCTGCAAGTATTATCCCGGTGTTTCGGGTGCTGTAAATTTTATCAAAATATGTATGTCGTACAATGAGTACATAACGGTTGAATGATATCAGTACAATATTGAATAAAGATGTACCGGACAAGGCGAAAATGATATATCCGGAGAAAGGACAGAACATATCAGTTCGAGGAACTGGGGAAAATGTTGGTGCGATGAACACGGGAAACATAACGAAACACATCAGAAAATTGCCGACAAACAAGTTCAGCACGAACGTAAATGATTTTTGATGATGAAATCCTCCCTTGATTATCAAAAGTATGGCCGCAAGGTTAATGATTGTGCCAATGCCAGAAATCGTTAAAATTATAACTTGATTCAGAGTTTGGTCCCCTGTAAGCTGTTGTATTATTAAAGCGTCTTGTTCCATGTTTAGTGAAATCCACTGTAGTGAAAATACTTCATCCACGACTGCTTATAAAGAAATCAAAAAATCAATAAGTAGTTTATAAGAAGAAAGAACAAAAGATACATATTATCAGAATACGTATGATTCTTGATACCACCTCCTTTATTCATAGGTGAATTGAAAATTTATTATCTTTATAGAAATAAAGTACAGATGTATATATATATATATATATATATATATATATATATATATATATATATATATATATATATATATATATATATATATATATATATATATATCATTCATTTCAGTGAAATACCTTTGAATTTAATATATCCGTAATTCGTTATATATAAATATGAATTCATATAACCATTAAGCGAATTGCAATATGCATGTTTTCCTTCAAGTATTATTACCAAAACTTTAAGGGAAGTAAATATTACATGTAAAACATAATTTATTGTTTTCGATAAAAGGTATTAATGACTTTTATATATAAATGCTAAAAGGAAATAAAGTTCAATTTATCAGTATTTTAAATAATTTTTAAAAATAGAAAACGATGTGAATTTCATTATATTTCTCAAGCATCAAAATCAGTTCCTATAAAATCCGTAAATTCGTTATAAATGTTATAATTAAATAATTTCAAAGATTTGTTGTACAATTTACACTGTAATTAAGAAAAACTTCGCTATAGAATTTCGCTATACGTGTCAGTAATATGTATATATATGTATATATATATATATATATATATATATATATATATATATATATATATATATATATATATATATATATATATATATATATATATATATGGATCGTGTTTGGAAAAATATAATCCAAAGCATGTACATGTAGAAAAAAATGTAGAAAATTGTACATTTTTTGAAAACATTCATTTCAGTGAAATAGCTATAAATGAATTCTAATATAAAAATTTGTAGATTGATACAAATATGAAAGATAACTTTGTAAAAATAATTTAATGTACATTAACATCTATTACATGTATAAGCGACTGAAATCAAATCTGTTTTCATAAAGTAATGTTTTACATTACCATTACTTTAGTAAAGTAATGCATTACCATTACCTTTTACTTTTGGAGATTTTTAAAAATAGAAATAGATAACTTTCAGTTTTTTTTCTTAAGCATGCATTCAGCCACTTTAAAATAAAACATGATAAATGATAATGCAAATTTAATTTCAAGGACATGTACTTGTACATATTACACTGTAATTAACTTAAATTCTTAAGAATTTCAAACTTGTCAGTAATATAAAACATGTACAAAATGCACTTTTGTGTAACTACCGATGCTATAAAGCAATTTATCTTTTGGGGAACTTTAATCCCTGCCCAAAATATATAATAATAAAGAAAAGGCTATTTGGATCTAGTACCTTAAGGAAAAAAATAATAATTGCATTGACAAACTTGTAGAAAAAAGTTAGAAAATATGTACATTTTGCTCTGTTCAAAACGTAATTTTTTCAAAGTGCGTTGCCACACGGCCTGTATGTCTTCTATTTTCTTTGGTACAATGGATATTTCATTGTCAGATCAAGCTAAACCAGCTCAATAAATGTTTTATAATTTCAGGAGAAGGGGACAGGTAATTTAGACCACTTCTCCAAATAATGCATTTTGTACCTGTAACATAACCCAGAGGCATAGTGTGTTTTGATGACACTCTAGTTATTCAAAGGTGGCAATTATCAGTTTACAATGTTTATTAATTAGTGTACCTCATACCAGAATTTAAAAAATTAAAATTCTTTTAAATAGTTCTTTGAAATCAAATCTAAAATAAGTTTGAAAACTTAAATGTATCAAGGAAATAGTACTTTAAACAGAATTCGAATATAAAGTGATAATTTTAGCATTAGAGAACTTAAAAGAACTTGCCATATTGGTTCTATACTCTTTGATTTTTTTCTGATACGCAGTTGCTGATCAGGACATTCTTCATATATAAAGTAAAAGATTGCTTTTGTGGTGAATGGTTTGATAGATCTGATATTCGTTTCTTAATTCTGATTAATGTAAACAACTTGTAAATTGGACATTGTTTCTTTCAAAGGGTATGTTATTTAAAGTTGTTTATAAAATTATACCCGAGAGAACTATTTAGAAGAACAAATTGTGAAAAACCTAATAACTCTATCAAATATATAATATTTTTGACGAATGGGATTGGCCTGTAATTGGCAGATCAAAGGTACAGTTAGAATTTGTTTAGTTTCAATTACCGATTTCATAGGGTAGAAACACCATTCAAAGGAAAATAATCATTGGTATACCATTTCTCTATTTTTCTTGCAAATTATAATTTTTTGATCATGAATGAGTAAAAAGAACATAACTAACAGAGTTCATGACGTCCATAAAACATTACCTGAACTTTCTACCTAAATCAGAACAAAAGAATGACAAGCATAATATCATTTTCATTTTTTCCGTCCAATTCTATCATTTTGAAAAATGTGTGCAAATAATCAGATAATTTTGAAGGTGTAAAAAAATGGTTTTAGGGTAAATTATTTATTGAACAACAGTTAACTGATTGAAACCGCATGAAGACAAAGAAAACAAAAAGCTAAAGAAATCATCTACTGAGTACATAATGTCAATTGCAGGTGGTTACATGTATGTCTATACTTCAGTTTATTTTATTTTATTATTCTATATTGAAATCGATTTTCATTATTAGAATAGAAACCACTATCTTTTGCGTATGTTTTTTTTTGAAAAAAAAAATTGCAATGAAATAGTGTTGATAATCTTTTTTTTTAATCTAAGAAAATAATAAAATGAAAAGCTACATCACAAAATACAACAAGAGCATGTGTTGCTATCTGTAAGAATTCGTTAGTAAGATAATCCATCCACACTTCTAATATCTCTTATACAATATTCTTAACCATTCATAATTCTTAAACACAATTTTGAATTCTTAAACATTTTTTTGTCAAGAAATTACATTTTGTATTAGAAATCATTTAATGCTTTATTAGTGTTTTATAACCCATTTCAAAGTTCTTGTTGCAATGTTATGACAATTTGCACTTGAATTTTGTACTTTTAACATCTTTACATCCAGCATGTAAAATTATACGTTTAGTGAATGTTATGTGTAATAATTACTAGGTAAAAGAGATATGTTTTTTCCTTTGATCAGTTTTAATTCAAATCAGATAAAATTAATGTATCTTTGGTGATTGACATGTCCATTTTTTCCAACAGAATGGCAAACAGTTTCGAGAGATTATTTTCCAAAACATTGTTGAAAATTGATACTTTATGTTGATCAAGCCCTACTACAGAAGCAGTTTGCAATTGTGATAAATACTGCAAGGTCAGATACTGCTTCGGATTCTTCACCTACTTCATTTAAACTTAATTTACAAAGTCAAGAATAAATTCACTTGTTTCGAATTTTGCATTTGCAACTTGTTAATTATGCCACAATTACAGTAGCAATTATCAATATTTTTTACATCACATCACATAATTTTATTAGATAATGCTTACATTGTAGTTGATAATTTTACATATTTACTAGGTCATGAACCATGCAGTGTTTAATACACGTGCATCTCCCGGATTTCATTTGAATGACAAAGAAGCATAGCCAGCAGGTTGTCTCCCTGTTACTTTGTTAATGTTTAAGTCATTATAAGGTAGACACATCTTTAATAATTGAAAATATGGTGACAGTTTCTTCGTCTAGCGGGTTCGAGAGATTTAAGGACGATGGACTACTGATGTGGGTTAGAAGATGGACAGAGCTTGACCAAAATTCTGTGGAAACTCCTAGGTAAATATATTTATTAAAAAAAAAGTTTTCGGGTCATGACCAATATATCAAATACAGTTTATTATGATGCAGACCATTTCATTTTAGCTAACATTCTTTCAGACTCATTTGTATGTCTTTGTGCCTAGTTTTAATTGCAAACGTTTATTAACTCTCAAAACGAGACCAATATAACACGAGGGTACAGGATATCTACAATATGTAACCGGACATGTCACTTAATATGCTTTATGATATTGAGTGATTATTTTCACTTTTAGTGTTAAATCATCGAATGAATTTTAATTTTTGAAATGAAATGAAGTTCAACAAAAACACTTGATGTTTAAATAATTTTTTTTTTAAAAAGACTGTTTCAAAATTAAGCATTGTTTCTTAAATATTCTATGAAAGACCAGCGTGCATTTAAAATCAATACATGTAAAAGGAAAAATGTGACTAACTATTTGAATAAATGTAAATATAATTTTAGAAAAAACCCATTTTATTTACATGAATGTAAACGGAGTGTATTTGTGTTATTTATTGCAAAAAAATTCCTTCAATATTTTAAACTTTTTCTCTTTAAAGATATATATTTTACCTAAACAATCTATTGTATCAAGATCTACCTTAAAATCCAATAAAAATTAAAGTTTAAGAAATATAAGCCACATAGACCAGAGACATGGGACAAAGATTTTAAGGAGATCAATTTGTATATATATTTTAATGATTTTGCTTTGACAGGAAGGCCTTAATTTTTGTAAGTCATGGACTAGGTGAACACAGTGGTTGGTATGACGAGCTAGGATGTTCACTAGCCGAAATTGGATTTTTGGTATTCTCCCACGATCATGGTAAGGAAAATGCATTTATATAGGGTACACATGAAACACGAGCGAAGTTTGATAAAACAAATAAAGATCATTGTGTTAATTCATACCAATTTAAATGTAGTTAATTAATGAAGAAAGGTTTGTTTTAGTTGGTCATGGGAAAAGCCCTGGCATCCCTAACCACATTGATGACTTTAAGGAATACACTTCAATTCTCTTTGACCACTGCAATATAATGAAGAGGAAATACCCGGATTTACCGGTGTTTTTATTTGGACATTCTATGGTGACTGACTCCTTTTCTTTCTCTCTCTAGTCTACAATTAATATCTAATAATGATTTTTTCGGGTACAGTGTATATTCCATATTCTTTGCATTTGGGCTTTGCTTTCCAACTTCAAAGTGGTTCACTCGCATAATAGAAATTCTGAAAGCACATTTTCAAGGTGACTTTATAAAAGAAATTCACTAAATGTACATGATACATGTTACTGTTGATTTTAGTATTACATGTATTTTCTTCAATATCATTGCCCTAATTTCTTACTATTTCCTTTTAGGGAGGTGCTATAGCAATAAAAGCTGCTATGGAAAATGAAACCTTTTTCGCTGGTGTCATCACCTCGGCTCCGTTCGTCATTCCAAGCAAAGGCTTACCTTCAAAAGTAGAGGTAATTATTTCAATGTTTACTACAATGAAGTTTCCTTCTACGTTGAATTTTGTCTGTTTGACTCTGTGACCGGTTGAATACTAATTTCTTTTTCTTCAGAGAAATATGTGGAGAAAACGAACTGTTTTCAAGTTCAAAGGTCAAATGCATATAATTATAACAAATTAGAAGCAGAGCAAACACGGACCTCCAAAACATCAGAGGTGGGATCAGGTGCTATATAGAAGTGAGCATCTTTTTCCGACCTGTCACAACCATGCGTGCTTCTTGTCATGATCGGAACTGAAAAATCCATCGTCAATTTAGTTTGTTAATAATTGCCAGTTAATTTATGAGTATGAAAATCGCTTGCCAGTATTTGATTTAAGATATAGATTGTGTTTGCTGAGGTCATTGTATTGACTACAAAACTCACGAAATGAGTTCATTTAACTTAACTATTAATAATCTTGGTTTAGCAACTTGTTTGTGAATAATTAACTTAGTTTTAGAGAATTGTTCATGAGTAGAGCATATTTTTGCGTATCGAATCAAATGAAAGATAAAAATCTCGTATGCAGAAGAAAAGGGCATATTGCTGCATGATTAGGTTATAACAGAAGTTGATGATTGTAAAGTTAAAGTAATCACGTTTATCATAGAGCTTTCCCACTTGTTACTGATGATGATTATTGTCTTTTTCTAGCCAAATATCGGTATCCAAATATATGTATGAAAAGGACATGCAAGTCAGACTTTGTGGTATCTTTATTTCAAACTCACCGGATATATCATGTCGACATAAGAATGGAAATACTAGTAACCATTGTTTTGATATTGACGAAAAGTCGTCGATATATCTAATCGTAAAAGGTTTTGTTCAAATTTTGCTTCGTACTGGATAAACTTTGGATGTTGTATATCATAAACAATATCATTGTAATATTTTTCTTTTATTTATATATCGTTTTAAAGATATTAAATTTCATCCACAGTTGGATTATTTTCTTCAGAAATTATATCGATACTTGCTCCTCAAACATATTTTAAAAGGACAAAACTCTGTCATTTCGCATTACAGATTATGTAAATGTGGATACCTTTGTAAATTGAATGAGGAATTGGATAAAGTTGTTAGTCACATAAAAAAGTCATTCTCGTTCTCTTCGTTGTAGCTGTTTTTCATGAAGAATGTAATTGCAAGACTCTGTCCACAACGTAAACTTTTCTTTGTCGATCCAAAAGAGATTTCTCGTGATCCCGACATGGTAAGCAGAGCAGCATGTATGTGTTAATTACACGTTAGGGTCTACTTTCGCTCTAAGTGGAGAAATCAATGAAATTTAATTTTAATGCTTCGAATGTTTTTTAAATCATAAAAATCAAATTACCTTTATTGAGAATTTTGTGTGTCAATATTATGTAGATAAAAAGCTTTGAAGAAGACGATTTGATTCATCCGTTTTTCAAAGCTAGGTAGGTAAAAATATATATTGCAAAAATATTTACAAGGTTTCAAAGGTATGTTGTGCAATGGTAAATTATCCCCAAACAAATCCAAAACACAATGTTTTACTGAAAATGGTGATAAAAAATACTACTGCTACATTTATATACCAACAAAAATTATGATCAAAATTAAAAATTATTCTCATATAGAAGCTTTATAAATAATGAAAACGTCGAAGCACACGATACATAACGTTAGGGCTGAATAATTACAATTAGGATTGTAAGAGTTTTCTACGAAATACTTCTTATTACACGTAACATATCATATATACATGTATATTGCTTTTCAAAAGAGACTTAAAATACGTTTATACTCAATAAAAGTAAAATATTTTTATAATATTTTTAGATTTGGAGTTGCTTGGATTAGTTGCTCAGAAATAATTACACAGAATTTGGAATCCATTTCTTGGCCTTTTCTAGCAATCCATGGTGATGCTGATCCTATAAGTGACGTCAAATTCTCTCAAGATATGTTTCAAAAAGCCAAAAGTCTAGACAAAGAACTTAAGGTACAAAATTGTATAAAATTTCATATAAAAACAATAATGATTAATTTATATAGAAATATCTATCGTAATTTCGATGGAAATTAAGATGGGAATTATATACGGTTTTTATATTTAAAGACTGACTTTTTTTTTTAACATTTCAGGTATATCCCGGATTTCTCCATGCGTCCCTTTACGAACCAGAAGAGGATAGACAACTTGTTCTTAAGGATATTAAACAATGGCTAGAGAAAAGAATATAAAATACAAGTAATAAGATTAAGTGTTCCACTAAATAAGCAGTATCTATCTGAAAAGATGAAAAATTACTATTGCACAATGCATACAATGTAACAGTTAACTGCTAAATATAAAGCAGATTTTCAGACTCAAATGTGTCTTTGGAGTTCATTGAGACCGATCAATTCTACTAAAGGAACGAAAATGTGTGTCATCTGACAAATCATCGTTGATAAATCTTAATATCTATTTGAAGACCACTTTTTTTTATGTAGAAATCTTTGTATAAACTTTGTTTCATTACAGAATAAAAAACCTTACGCCTGTTAAAATAGGGCACATTCAGGAATTCTAGCTGATTGCTGGAGGAATTGTTCTTTAAAGATTGCGTAGTTATTGACAAAAAACTTGTCTCAATGAACATTTTAGGAATTTTAATATCAACTTCGACGAACAAGTATTTGCCACCATCCTTTGAAATACGAGTTTTATCCTGGTTTCATGACAACCCTTGATTTGATTTGTCGAAGCACCAATAATAATTTTTTATTCATTTCATATATCTTGTTTGAAAACACGAGTATACTATACTTAGACCTACTCTAATCCAAAAAGCATTATATTATATACAAGAGGCTCACGGGCCTTATAGGTCACCTGTGTATCACGTAACAACTTTCCAACAATTGAATTTCATAACTATGTGATTAGTTAATTTATTTAATACCCAGGAGCAGATTGATTGATTGTATATTGTTTAACGTCCCTCTCGAGAATTTTTTCACTCATATGGAGACGTCACCGTATGCCGGTGAAGGGCTTCAAATTCTGACCTTTACTCGGCACTCAGGGCGATTGAGCAGTGAGGGATCTTTATCGTGCCAGCGCCTGCCGCTGACACGGGGCCTCGGTTTTTAAGGTCTCATCTGAATAACCTGCAACTTTCACTTCAAAGTGCCGAGCGCATAGCGAAGGAACAGTTGCTACGCATTTTTTTATCGACTTAGGTCAGTCGCGGCCGAGATGCGAACTCACGACCTCCCGATCACGGAGCGAGCGTTCTACCGACTGAGCTACCGTGAGGAAGATTTTCAAAGAATTAATGCATTTTCACTATATAATCAATAGAGCCCCGCCCTAACACCAGAACCCATGACCCTGCACTCTTGCTCATCATAACTATGCACTTAGTGTTTTTAATACCCAGGAGCAGAGAACAAGATTTTCAAAGAATTTATGCATTTTCACAAAGTAATCAATAGAGCCCCGCCCTAACACCAGAACCTCTGACCCTGGGGCCATGAATTTCACAATTTTGGTAGAGGACTCAATGGTTCTTACATTCATGCTATCAGTTTGACTGCTTGATGTCCAGGAGTAAAGAAGAAGATTTTTAAAGATTGCATTAATTTTGGTGGATTTGACCCCACCCCTCAGGCTCCAGAGGGGCAGGGACCATGACACTCATAATTTTTGTTCCCCTTCACCCATAGATGGCAAATTTGGTGGAAATTGGTTAAGTGGTTGCAGAGAAGGAGCTGAAATGTTCAAATATTAACACACGACGAACGACGCACGAAGACGGACAAAAACGGATAGCAATAGGTCACCTGAGTTTACTCAGGTGACCTAAAAATAGGGTGAAGATATACTGACATGCAATATTACCCGTACTTATTGTAAATGGTAAAAAAGGTTTCTCATAAAACAGCTTTTTTTTGGCAGAAAATGTTCTAATCAGAAGTCAACAAAGACATCTTATTTAAAGAAATATTTATTACACTAAAAATTTGATATCAAAAGTAAAATAATAGAAATTCAAGTAAATAAAATTACTTAAAAGTAACTTGAGCAACATAAATGTGTTTTAATTTCTGTGATCAATAAAGGAAATTGATGTGATACGAATGTTTTCAAAGAATAAATATGCAATACAATGTAAATATTTTAACTTCTAAATGATATGCAAATGCATTTTCCCGTGTAGTTGTTGATCAACAATGCCATATTTTATCCCTTTCTTACTGGAACTAATGTAAAGAATTTCAGCATTTTTAATATTTTTTTTTTCTGAAGTACTTATTAATATCTTTACAATCTTTAACTGATAGAAAAAGCATCACATATAACAAGGTTTTACTGTATTAGTTTCCAAGTAGACTTAAAAATTTCTGAATCATACTTTTATGAAGTCCTCAGACATTCTAAATAACTTATTTTATGATTAAAAATATACTATTTACAATTTGCAGTTTTCAAAAAAGATTTTTACATTTGAAAACAGGAAATTCTAGCTCAAACAAGACATCTAAGGCAAAAAAAATTAATTTCTTGGTTCTCAGGCCCTCCCTCATCTCTTCCAAGGGTGCCTCATTGACCCTTTTTATTGCTAAATCAATAAAATATAAACACCAAATCACCTCCCTCATCATTTTTTGAGGTTTTGTACAATGTAAAAAGCTGCCTCATCATGTTTTGGCGGCAATAAAAAAGAAAAAAAATGCCTCCCTCCCTCATCATATTTCTTGAAAAAAGGCCTGAGAACCAAGTAATTAACTTTGTATGGCCTAAGGTTAAAATGAAATAATGGTTTTGTAACAAACTACATGTATAAGTGTTTTACACATAACATGAGGATTGAGATTACAATTAACATGTAATATGCATTTAACATGCATTCTCTGTAAGCACCAAAAAATCTTGGAAACGACATATCTCCGATTTTGATGAAATTTGCACCACAGGTGCACCTTGGTACAAAACCAGCAAATATGGTGTAAGAAGTTTCCCACGTGCACCCGGTTGCCATGGAGACGGATCCATTGAATTTGGCCATTTTCGGCCATTTTTGACCAAACAAAAACATGAAAATTGAGGAAATATGAATGCATTTTTATCTTTATGTAGTGAACTCAAATATAAATCTTTGTATCATAAGAAAACATCAACTGTTAAAGAATACAGGGCATATAACCAGTTATTCCAGAATTGACCCCACTCTTAGAAAACGGTTTTGCAAAATAGCAGAGTTTCTCAAAATGTGAAAAACTGGAAAATTTGGTATTTTTTGAGAAATTTAAGGTTAAATAAAAAAAATTGTCTACGGAAATTTTTCAAATCATATGCGTGTCGTCAAACGTCAGTATTAGTAATGTCCCCTCATGAAAAAATTGGAGTGGGATTTCAATGCTATTTTTAGTAACATGTATCTTAAAATAGACATATTTCAGAAAAATCCAAAAAATGAAATTTGGGCAGAGTTTAAGATGCCATTGCTAGGTAATTATGAAATATACTGTAAAAGTCAATATGCTAATGTCAGAGACTGGACACCAATAACTACCATGCATATTATTTTCAGGGATTTCCGTTTTCTATTTATAGCTTCAAATGCCTAAATATAGACATGTCTCATAAAGTGATGAAAAATGTCAATTTTCCATCATTTTGAAGCTCCACTGAATCATAAATAATAAAAATATGGATCTCTCCAATATTTCATCAATAAGAACAAGGAATAGTATAATATCTCACAAATTATTGAGGACAGGCTCTCATCTCTATAAATAGTACAAATGTCTAAAAATAGACACATATGAAATTAACTGTTTAATGTTGATTTTCCACCAATTCTCAAATTAGAGATGGGAAATTTACCGACTTACTGTCATTAAATGTAACTGATATTAAGTGACTGACAAGAACAAAAGAACATTCAATGGAATGCAGCATGATAAGCAGAGGTTTCCATTTCTATTTATAGTAATACATGTTTAAAAATAGACGTAATGCGAAATATCGGGAAAATGTCGTTTTTTTGTACTTTTTTTTTTAATTTTGGATGAATAATTCCTGACTATCTGTTTTTAACTGCTATTGGCATATGGTGACCAACAAGTATATGAAAGCCTTATATCAAATACAGAATGAGAAGCAGTTACTTCCATTTCTATTTATAGTAACATGAGTTTAAAAATAGACATATTGTAAATTATCGGGAAAATTTAGTTTTTTTTTTTACTTTTTTCTCACATTTTGGATGAGCAATTGCAGACAATATGTTTTTTACTGCTATTGGCATTCAGTGACCAACAAGTCAAAGAAAGCATATATGAAATACAGAATGAGAAGCAGAGGTTTCTGCTTCTATTTATAGTTACACATGTTTGAAAATAGACAAGCTGCAAATTCTTGAGAAAATGTAGACTTTGCACTTTTTTTACTAACATCAGGGATGGTCAAAGTGCAGACAAACGGCTTTTATTTGTTATTGATAGAATATGACTAACGAGTATGAAAAAGCTTTAGCTAAAGTGTATAAGAATAATGTTTAAGGGAACTTTTATATTTATGCCTATAATAACACATATTAATAAATAATCAGGAAAATAAAGAATAGTTCGTTTTTCTCAAATAAGAGATATGAATTTTGCGGTCAAACTTCCATTAGCTGTAACTGACATGGCTAATTGTATTCGGCGCGCCAAAATGTCACCTTTTACATGTATCACAAAAGTATTTCTTGCATTAAAAACTCAAATGACAATTGCGATTTATTTAATGAATTAAGCATTATCGTTTATATTCAATATGACAGGTGACCAAATTTAAGTATGCATCCAGAAAATTTATATCAAATCACTATGTCAGTTTAAACTAGAAGTGTCTATTTATAAACATGGTTTTCAGAGGTGTTAAATCATGAATATTTAATTCTAAGAGAAAAATGAAATGCTAAAACATTTTTTGCAAATGTAATTTTTTTATTTTCATAAATGAAACATTTCCTTGGATAAAAAAAACAGACTAAATATGACCAGACACGAATTATGAACATTTTCTGTCAGTGACCTTGGCCTTGCATTAATGACCAACAAGATCAAAGTCATATACAGAAAATCAGATAATAAGCAAGGTTTGTGTGAAGTAGTAGATTGAGGTTTAGCCATAAAAAAGATATGGACCAGACACAAATAATTAAAATTTTTCTTCAAGTGGCTTTGAACTTCCCCAAATGATTTTGCGTCAAGG